CATCCAGCTCTACACCTTGTTAACCCAGTATTCAGAGCAACTCAGAGCAGCAGCTTTTATCACAAAACAAAAGCCTTTTAAGCAAGGAAAATAAGTTGTCACATTAGGAAGAAATGGCATCAGAAATAATCTTGCCAGGAAGATTATATTATTTGGGTGGCCAAATAAGATACAGAATTATGCATCTTGAAGAAAGCATTTCTTAAAGTAGAAAATAACTTACAAATTAAATACTAAATCAGAAAGCAAATATGTCAAAAGACTTCTATTCACAATGGAGAGTGCAGCTGATAACTCACCAAGGTGCAAAAAAATACAAGATATTCATGAAGATGTCTTGAAATTGTCTTTGACAATTACTTTAACATCAAAACTAATAACATTTTGAATGACGAAGATTTAACAGAGCAGTACAGCCTCCAGAATTTCATTAAAAATCTCTACAAAGTAGTGCAGAAATGTGACTATGGTGATTCAAAGTTAGACTACATAGGAGACAGAACTGATAGAATTGCTGTTGATTCTTTGTCAGATTTATTCTAAACAAAAGAAGATTTGATTCTAGAGAAAGCCATTCAGATGGCAAGTGAAGCAGAAGTACTGAAGCAGCATGGATCAATCCTAAAAGGAGAACAGCAATGTTGGCACAGAAGATCAGCAGAGTCCATTCAATTCTGAAGATAGAAAACCACAAATGACGCACATGAGAAATCAATAGAGCAGGTGTGCAGGCACGGGAGACTAAAAGACCTTGTTACACTGTGCAGCAAAGACACCTCACACGCCAAGCTCAGCCCAGCTACTAAAAGTAAATGCTTTATCTGTCACAAATTAGGTCAAGTTCAGAAAACATGAATAAGTTGAACACAGTCACAGAAAAAAGAAAGTCAAATAATTAACCACACAAAGAGTTTAATGAGGTAGAACAGTCTATGATAGAAGAAAATAACTGAAGTGTTCCTAGGGAAAATAGGTGATCAAGACCTTACATTTTTTATTTATGTCAATGGTCATCTCACAAATTTCCAGTTAGGAACAGGGGGGAGTATCACTACATTATCAGAAAGTAATCCTTAGTCGAAAAAACACTGTCTGCAGTGGTCTGTCGACAGCAGCGACCACACGGTCTGCAAGGCATAGAATTTAAGATTAAAGGTTTGCTATCAGAAATTCTCCAATTGAGGAATACCAAATAGTAGAAAAACTATCTTTTCTTAACGATGAAGAATTTTCACTCAAGTAGCAATATATGTCTTATCCACATCCTTTTTTGATAAATCAAAGGCGTTAAACAGCAAAAGCTAAGAGCTTCTTTAAACAGGTATATCCCGGATTGTTTACTGCAAGAAGAAAGCTCAGTACTGCGTACAGATCACACCGAAGATAGATACTAACCCTACATATATCAAAACACCTGGAAGATTCCACATCCTTTAAATGAAACAAGTCGATAAACAATTTGAACAGGTGACCAAAATGAACACCATTTTCCCAAATTACAAAACCAACTGAGTGATGCTCAGATATGGTTGCCTTACCCAAACCTAATGAGTTCATCTGAATTTGTGTTGACCTTACAGAGCTCAGCAAGGTGGTAGGGAAAGAAATCCACCCAAGCCTATGGTTGATGAAACTTTAGCTAAATAATTCAAAAACAGAGTTTTCATGAAACTTAATGCAAACAGTAGACTCTGGCAGGTGCTACTGGTTGAGAATTCAAAATTATCTACCATATTCATAAGAGATAGTAGGAACTGCAGATGCTGGAAAATCTGAGATAACAAGGTGTAGAGCTGGATGAACACAGCAGGCCAAGCAGCATCATAGGAGCAGGAAGGCCACGAGGCCACTGGCGGCGGGCACGTTGTGGGGAAGGTCCTGGGTACGGTCCCCGCCTCTTTGACCTGTCTGTTTCCTCTCCACCTATCTTCCCGTCTATCCATCTTCTATCCGCCTCCCCTTCTCTCCCTATTTATTTCAGAACCCCCTTCCCCCCGCCCCATTTCTGATGAAGGGTCTAGGTCTGAAACGTCAGCCTTCCTGCTCCTATGATGCTGCTTGGCCTGCTGTGTTCATCCAGCTCTACACCTTGTTATACCATATTCATAACTCCACTTTGGAGATTTTGCTTCAACAGCCTAACATTTGGGAATGTTATACTCCAGGCATTTTTCAATCATCTATAGCTAATATTTCACAAAATCTTCAAGGATGTGGATGACATACTGATACATGGGTAACAGTCCAGAGGGCTGATTAGAAAACACATGCAGTTCTAAAGCACTTGCATAAAGAAGGAAGAAAGTGTAAATTCTCCAAAGGATTTATTCACATCTTGGGACACGTTGTCAACAGTGATGGTATAATGACAAGTCTACAGAAGACAAAAGCCACTTAGGAGTTTGGCATTCCAAAGTCAGAAAGAACTTTAGGGATGGTAAACCAGTTGGCAAATCTTTTGCCTCACTTAGCAATCACTACAGAACCTTTGAGACATTGCTTAAAGACAACATAAGAATGTTGGAACCCCATCAAGAGAATGCGTCTCAGAGGGTCAAGGACAGATTGACAATAGCCACTACAATCTGCTCATTCCAACCATGATAGCAGCTGATGCTTCAGCTACAGTCTTAGGAGCAGCATCCTTCAAGGAGCAACCAGTTGAGTTCGTAAACCAGTTTTTTAAGCACTGTCTTTGAAGGAAATGTTGACTTTGGCAATGCTTGCTAAATTACAGAACCACCCAATTCCAGTGTTGTTCAGCAGCGTCAGAGTTGTTGATGAGCAGAAAACTGAAGTCTCAGCTCCCTATTGTACCAAAGAATTTGAAGCCACATATACCTCCATGAACTATCAACATCTATTTAAGAAGGGGCAGTCCTTTCGTGTGCAGCAAGATCATATGAGAGACAGTCAGCATTTTTTGGGCTGGGGCAATGATCGCGGATAAAGGATCTTAACAGTAAAGCTGTTTTTTATTCATTCACAGGATAGGCCATCCCTATTGCCTAATACCTATTATTCATTCCTATCACCCCATTTATTGCCCATCCCTATTAGCCCCAGAGGGCGGTCTGGAGTCATATGTAGGCCAGACTAGGTAGGGGTGGCAGTTTCCTTCCTTGAAGGACATAAGTGAACTAGATGGGATTTTCTAGCAATCGACAATGGATTCATGGTCATTATTAGACTCTTAATTCCAGATGTTTTTTAATGAATTCAAATTCCATCCTGTGCCATGTCGGGATTCAAACCCAGTTCTCCAGATCATTATCTGGGTCTCTGGATTAACAGTCCAGCAATAATACACTAGGCCTTCACCTCCCCCAGTTCAGGTCATCCAAGGAGTAATAGACCAGTAGAGATCATTCAGAGATCATATGGCTTGTACAGCCATAGAATCATGCAGCTAAGAAACATACCCTTCAGTCCAACTTGTCCACGCAAATCAAGTTTCCCAAACTAAACTAGTCCCGCTTGCCTGCGTTTGGCCCATATCCCTCTAAACCCTATTCATGTACCTGTCCAAATTTCTTTTAAATGTTCTCACTGTACCTGCATCTACCACTTCCTCTGGCAGTTCATTCCACATACGAACCACCCTCTGTGTGAAAAAGTTACCCCTTAGGTCCTGTTTAAATCTTTTTTCTCTCACCTTAAAAAATGCCCCTAGTTTTGAAATTCCCCACCCCAGGGAAATGACCTTTGCTATTTCACTTTTCTATGCCCCTCATGATTTTATAAACCTCTACATGGTCACCCCTCAACCTCCTATACGCCAGTGAAAAAAGTTCCAGCCTATCCTTATAACTCAAAGCCTCCTGAAGACTCCTGAAGGCAACATCCTGAAGACTTGCATGAGGGAAGCACATGAACTCTATTCTTATGTAGATCTATCATTCACTACTGATTGATTTGGACAAATGCAATAAGGTAACTGCAAGGGACCCACAGCCTGCTCACTGTCAAGAAAATAATCAAAGTTAACAGTCTTCAACCCTGAGCTCTACAGAGACTGAAAAGAACACATTCTGGGAGAACAGTGAAAATTCCAGATCACCTGAATTTATGAAGTCAGAGACTTGTTGCTAGATGGGGTATGGGCAAGCTTAATTCTCAACTCAATTGCACACTACTAACAAGGGAAAGAAATCTTGGTGGGAGATGTTGTATAAGGATGTAAAGATTGAAAGAGTTAATATCAAGGAATGCCTTAAACACCACCAACTATAATGAGGTCATATGGACATCTAGGCAAAGCAGCTTAGGATCTTGAAGGAACAAGAACTAACAGGTCTTCCTCAAAGTATCTGTAACAATGTCTACCATATCAATGTAACCTGTAACTAGTTGTTAACATGAAATAAACTTCATCTTGTTCAACACAAAAGCCCCTTCTAGTTAGACCAGTATGTGATTTTCATCTACCACATTTTGACCGGACAGGCCCAATAGATCCCCACACTTAAAGAGGATGATGGCAGCACACCTATATGGTGGGATAGAGACATGGCTTAACTGCAAATAAACACGGTACAGGATAGGAGGGATTAAATGAGGAAAGTGATATTGGTATAAGGTAAATGAAGGTGAAATTGGGTCTTGTAAAGAAACAAAAAATGGGTTCATTCAAGTCGCAAATGGGAAAAGAGAGGGAATGTGGAAAATCATTTGGAACAGAGGGTTTCTTTGGCCTGGGATGGTTTGGTCGATTCCTAGATTAACCTGCTGGCTCTGTACCAAAGTGGATCACCACCACAGACAATACCTTCTCCAAATCAAAGTATCCTTCATTACAAGTACATACTCGCCAAGGAATGGGGATTATCATTGATATGATTGCATCATTTTCAATTATCTTCAGAAATATTTTGTCTTTAATGACATAATCCTAGCAATACAAAACTGAGCACCAAAACTAGCAACAGCCAGAACAGCAGAAAAGGCTTAAGTGCAGCATAATGCTCAGACTAGCTCTCCACTAAAAGCCTTCTCCATACTTAACACGCAGCATCTCCAATACAGGACGTGAGAACTCAGGTGGTCCCCAGATGGCACTTTCGTATTGATGGACCCGTGCTTTATGCAGATCAATATACGTGCTTCTGCCGATATTTCCCCACACAATCACATCTTTCACATCTGCAGAGAGGATGAAGAAAAGGGACATCACTTACATAACTATGAACAAGCCATTTGCTGATAAGTACACTTAAAAACAATTGTTGTAATACGATATAGAGCTGGAATTTAGAATCAACCTAAAGAACAGTCTTATCTTTGTGCAGATTTGTAATGCATAAAAGACAACTAATTTGCTGACATTTTATTTCCGCTCAGCCTATACTAACTCATACATTGCTGAAACTCTCGTTCATCAGTATCTCTGTTTTAATGACTCGTTATAATGTATAGCCCTGTGAGGCATAACTAATGAGTAACATTTAAGGTTCCTTGTCACAAGGAAGTACTCCCTGACCTCAGCAAACGGTTCAAGATATTAGGCCTGGTCTCTGTCTCTGCAATGTTGCTGTGAGAGTTACAGGGTCTTCTGTGCATGGTGGGTGTGAACCTTTATCTAAAAGGTCTGTAATGAGCAGGTGGCATCAGTTTTGATTCATTTTCCGCAGACAGTGGCGCCTGGAAAAGATCATCTAGATCAGTCCACAACAGACTGGGAGAATGGGCGCAAGCTAAGGAACAGCTAGGCACACTGCATTCTTCAATTGGTTTGCTCCTGTTTAGTGAATGGGTGGGGCGAATCAGTCCCAAGAAGATAAATTAATGTTCTTGCTAATTTTTTTTTATTCATTCACGGGATGAGGGCATCGCTGGCTAGGCAGCGTTTATTGACCATCCCTAATTGCCCAGAGGGCAGTTAAGAGTCAACCACATTGCTGTGGGTCTGGAGTCACATGTAGGCCAGACTAGGTAAGGATGGCGAATCAGAGATAGTAGGAACTGCAGATGCTGGAGAATCCGAGACAACAAGGTGCAGGGCTGGATGAACACAGCAGGCCAAGCAGCAT